AAGAGATTGAGGATAAATGAGTATGTTCATTGAAAAAACTTTCCAAAAATGGAAAGAAAGACAAATATTACTCCCTCCGGTTTTTAATAAACTTCACACTTTCCTTTTTGGGACGGTCTAAAATAAATTTCACACTTTCTTATTTCCTTTTTTGGCAAAGAAATCTACATCAAAACAGTGTCAAACAGTGCCAAACAGTGTCTCAACAGTGCCAAACAGTGTCTCTTCAGTGCCAAACAGTGCCAAACAGTGTCAAACAGTGCCTCAACAGTGTACTCTACAGTAAAGTCAAATTTCTTTCCTTATTTTGTGTGAAGTCAAACTATGAAGATTAAAAAAACCGGAGATAGTAGAAAACAACCCAAAATGGAAACAGGGACAAATATTAGAGACCGGAGGGAGTATTTATCTTCCGGAGTCGATTGTCAGGATCATGAAAAGTGCTCTTCAAATGAGTGTGTATGAGTATTTCCAACATGCAATATAATGAAATAAATCTCAAATTAAGCCTAATTCTGTGAGTAGCATAAAATGGAGCTGAAATTTCTAGCCCCGCTCGCTTTCAAGTAAGGCAACTAAATTTACTTATTTGAAGTTTTGAACAATGAGCCCTTTGGCAACCCAGTTTTTTGGCTTATCAGCCAACTTTTTCACCAAACATGTAACTTTTGTTTTCGCGCACTGAATTGTATAATAAGCAGAAAAAGTAAGGTTGGAGTTACTTTTCTGGATGTATTGGCTGAAGTTACTGTAGATGACTATTTTAGCTATTTTTACATATAATTTTTTCTTTATTTTATTAATAAAATATATTTTTAAAATATTTTTTCTTAAATCAGCAGAATCAGCCAATGCAACCACTTCAGCCAGAATTTCATAAATTTCAGCAGAATCAACCAAAACAACCGATTTTTGTGCTACCAAACGAGCTCAATATATACCAAACCAAACAATGGTTTCATACTTTAAGATGTTACTACGTGTGCATTAAAACCACATATTGCAATTTGCAACAAACATTGTGAGCTGTAACAAGAATTACAACAATCATTCAAATATATTGACTAGGGGTGTGCAAAAATACCGAACCGGCATGATACCGAACCGGACCGGTATGGTACCGGACCGATAAACGGGGTTTGAAACGGATCTCAAAATTTTTTGTCCCGAACCGGACCGAACCGGTTCCAAACAATGTCATGACCGGTTCTCATAAAATGAGAACCGGTACCGGACCGAACCAGACCGAAGTATGGTTTATTAAATTTGTACTACTATAGTTTACAGGGCCGGTTCTGGGGGGAGGGCAAGAGGGGCGACTGCCCTAGGCCCGAAAAAAATAGAAGAAAAAATAGGCCCAAATTTTTTTCTTTATGTATATGTGAGTAGGCTTCTTTTTTATTCTTAAGGTCAGTTAATTAGGCCTAATGTTTGATTTTGTTGACAATTTGAAGATTTAACATGTAAATAAAAAATCTTAAATAGAGCCAAGTTTAAAAAGAATATATACATAAATTTAAGCAGGATCAATTGTAGTTTTTAAAAGCAATACAATTGTTGCTGCATCAAAAAAAAATTATACATTAATTTTAAGTAGGATCGATTGTAGTCTTGACATCTCTTTAGCCTTTAAGAATTTTTATTCATTTTAATTATAACACACACACACACACACACACACACACACATATATATATATATATATATATATATATATATATATATATATAATTATTTTAGAGCCCATCTCTCTCGAATCTCATCCCAATTATTTATTTGGTTCCAAATTTCAATAAACTATATATGAGTTTCTAATAGTAGTTTTAGAGGATTATTAGTTTATCTAAAATATATTAATTACCTCATCCGTCCCAAATTGATTTGCAAAGCCAACATTTTTTTGTCAAAGTTAATGTTAAGTTCTTGATAATTAATACAATTTTTAATAATTAAAATTTACATATTTAGAAACCACATTAAAATCTCTCTAAAGTTGCAAAATCCAAATTAAAATATACGAAGTACGGAGTAGTTTTTTTGAAAGGCCAAATTAGAATATAATTAGAAAGTGAAATTCTAATTAAGTGAATAAAAAGAAATTGTTTGACCAAAAAAAGATTGACTTTGCAAATCAATTTGGAACGAAGGTAGTATGATATATGAAAATTGATAAATTGTGTGGATTTTTGTAGGATGGCTAAACTTTAATTTTTTCTTAAACACCTAGAAAAAGTGGCATTGTTTGGTATTGGTATGACATGGTACCGTCCCGTTTGAAAATGGACCGTACCGAACGGGTTTGGGTCTAAGACCGAACCGTACCGAACCGTTTCAATAGTAACGGTACAGGTACGGGTTCGGCCAAATATTGGACCGGACCGGACCGTGCCCACCCCTAATATTGACTAGCTCCATATATATATATATATATATATATATATATATATATATATATATATATATATATATATATATATATATATATATAATCTTTCCGGTAAGGTATACCTTACCGGAGCCTTCGTGCGGCCTCCATGTTTTGAGGGCCTTCCCGGTGGAATTTTTCGATGAAATTTTTTGAGCATGTTCATCATCAAGTCTAGTACATCCATACCAAATTTCAGCAAAAAATTCAATCGGGAAGGCAGCCAAACGATTTTTGGAAGATAACTGCGTTTTATATGTATATAAAGGATGCAGTTATCTTCCAAAAATCATTTGACTGCCCTTCCGATGTAATTTTTTGCTGAAATTTGGTATGGATGTACTAGACTTGATGAAGAACATGCTCAAAAAATTTCATCGAAAAATTCCACCGGTAAGGCCCTCAAAACGTGGAGGCCGCACGGAGGCTCCAGTAAGGTATACCTTACCGGAAGAGTTCCTTATATATATATATATACATATACATACATACATACATACATACATACATACATACATACATACATACATACATACATACATACATACATACATACATACATACATACATACATACATACATACATACATACATATATATATATATATATATATATATATATATATATATATATATAGATTTTGGTTCAAATGAGAACGAGTCTTAACGTGAGAACGTGAGAACGTGAGAACACATCTCAGTCATCCAAAATCTAAACCCATCTTCGATCAATTAAATAGGAGTAAAGGCTATTTTAGTCCATATTAAACTTGGCCATTTTGGTAACCGACTTTGTAGTTAATTCGTTTGTCTAAAGCAGTAATGGATTGAATAACTTCCATATTATTTTACTTTATTTCTCACGTCAACAATTATAGAAACAAAATCTCATTTCTTTTTTCAAATTCTCCTTCCATCTTATTTCATTTCTCACGTAAATTGAGTTGTGCAACTATAGAAACAAAATATCATTCATTTTCATTCAATTATTCCTTCAAATGCACATAACCACTATTTTAGTTTTAGATTATAACTGTTATAGGTATTTTATTAGTTATCACAAATAATTCCGTCTCATGCACTAAAACATCATACTAGGTGCACATAACTTTATCACAAATGATTTCGCCCCATGCACTAAAACATCATACTAGTGCACATAACTTTATTACAAATAATTCTGCCCCATGCACTAAAACATCATACTAGTGCACATAACTTTATACGCTTATACACTTAGTTCATTTGCATATTACTGCACAAATCCACTGCAGTAGTGCACACCTATGCTTTGTAAACTCAAATACGGAGTATGTTATTCAATACAAACATGCTCCCACTACTATGTTATTGAACTGCACAATCTCCAGAATTTGCATAACTTTATTTGTGCATTAGATATCAGTTTGTATATACTTCGTATTACATACAACAAGCTTTACTTTCTTTTTGAGTACGAGGTCATCTCATATGCATTAGATATCGGTGATTGTGTGTTAGATACATGTTCTTGTGCATCCGGTAGATAGAAATGTTTGTTGTTTTCTATGGTATGCATCTTATACATATTTTATTTTTAAAAATTATATATGACATATTGATGTCATATGAAAGAGCATAAAAAATTATTTAATTTGGTATAATTTTTGTTAAAATTGGATTATTATTTAAGAAGTTAAATCAATTTATAAACTAAAGAAATTTATATGACATGAGATTTATTATTACCTAGTTTTTAGGGAAATGACAACCCCCTCAACCGTATGATTTTTTTAAAATGACTATCAAGTCCATCTAACCTACGTTTAATTAGAAGAGAGAGCATGGTGTTTTTTAAAGTGTTTGCACTTCCATGGTACATCCGTAGATCTACTCCTTTTTTGTCCATTAATTTACTAAGATCTATGGTTAAGATTTGTTCTCACGTTCTCACGTTAAGGGGTGTTCTCATTAGAACCCAACCCTATATATATATATATATATATATATATATATATATATATATATATATATATATATATATATATATATATATATAATTTTATTCATGTCCGGAATTCCGGACAGGAACCGCCGTCCGGAAGGTGGCGCTTGGCCGCCTTCCCGGTGACATTTTTTGATGAAATTTTTATGGCATGTTCTCCATCAAGTCTAGTTTATCCACAAAAAAATTCAGCCAAAAACTCAATCGGGAAGGTCGTCAAATGATTTTTGCAAGTTAACTCGTCCGGAATATGTATTTTCCGGACCAGTTAACTTGCAAAAATCATTTGACAACCTTCCCGAATGAGTTTTTGGCTGAATTTTTGTGTGGATAAACTAGACTTGATGAAGAACATGTCATACAAATTTCATCGAAAAATTCCACCCAGAAGGCGGCCAAACGCCGCCGTCCGGACGGCGGTTCCGGTCAGGAATTCCTGACCGGAAGAGTGCTCTCTCTCTCTCTCTCTCTATATATATATATATATATATATATATATATATATATATATTTTAATTAATTGGAGTTTGTTAACGGTCTATCAGAATTTGTTAGCTAAAAAGCTTTAAAACGTATGCGTACACGCAGAGGGAATTATAACTATAATAATAATAGTAATAATAATAAAAAAACACCACAGAGAACAATTAAATCAGCAGATGCTCTTTCGTATATCGTCAATAATGGCTCACCAAAATAGAGATGACATTTGTCCACCAACCGTTGAGTTGAACATCATATGTATCATATCATGTGTTTAGATCTATTTAAAACTAATACAGTATTATAAACTTAAAAAAGAACAAAAAGCGTAGCATTTGGAGTTTTATACGTAGGATTTATGACAAACTGAATCCTAAGCCGAAGCTTTTAATGTCTTCTATGCTGCTCCTACCACGTCATTGCTGCTTCTTGAATCCATTATAATTTTTAATCTCCGTGCAGTTTTCATGAACTCGCTGCACAATAAAAAGTAAGTAAATAAACAAGATATGAGAACTTTGTTTGAAGTTAATATAAAGTAAGCACAGCTAACCTGAAAGGTTCATCACCAAGGTGTCTGACTGCACCCGTGACGTCTCGATATAACACATGATTCATAACCTCGGAGTTTTCAATCCCAAACATATCCGCTAATTTCTTATTCAGTTTCTCATACGACTCAAGTAACGAGAGATCGAGGGTGCGTCCCTTATCGTTCGAATCGACATAAACCTTACAATGGCCGGTCTCTAAATTAGGCTCAAATGGGAAACCACCACAATCACTAACAAACTTGTTTCCATCTGATGAGGAGGAGCTATTGCCTGAACGAATCGGAGAAACATTTAAGGAGATTTGCTGCTCCGTGAGAATCGCTTTACCGAAAAGAATCAACGGTGCTTTCCTGCCCATGACAGCATCAGACTTTTTTTTCAATGTTCGTGGAGAAGAGTTTCCCATGGTCAACAGACATGAGATATCATCAGACTTGTTGACTGTTGGACCGTAAATGGTCGGACTAGAGGTCGGTCTAGCAGCCGAATGATGCAGCTGATGGAAACCGACTGGGAAAAACCCAAACTGAACTTGTTTATTATTGAGATGGAGATCTGACAAGGATAATCCATATTGAGAATGCCTGGCTCCCTGCATGCCAGCAAGGTGGGGGGTGTTGTTGCCGGGAAGACAACCAAACGGACCGTTAGGACCAACAAGGTGGTGGTGGTTGGTGGAATAAGCAGCAGCTGGTATAGGATGTGGTCCATCAAAGGGGAAATCCAGATTTTGAGGCAACCTGATTTTTTTTCTTGGGGGCGAGAATGGGGAGAGATGCATGGCGGACATGTTCGACACTAATTCCACCAGCCATGGGCTCACACGTTTCACATTCTGAAGCAAATCAGGCTCGTCCCATGTTACCTGTACAACACGCTTCACTCAATTAGAATCGCTTGTTTAAGCTTAATAAGTTTCAATACCATATTAAGAAGACTCAACATTCCATTTTAGACAAATTTGATATTGTTTTTTCCTCAAGAATGGAGCGTGTATTTTGTCACACATAACAGATCAGATCTATATATTGCTAGAACCAAATACATATTGTAAACAAATAATGTACGCCGAACATTAATCACTCATATATATGTATATGAATAACACATTTTTGGATTTGAATGCAACCAAACCGAGTGGCTAGTTTAAACTTAAGAGGCTCTCATATCGTTTTCAAATTGTCAACAAATAATGTATGTGGACAGAAAAAAAGAATAAGTTGTTATACACATTACCTGTAGAAGTCTCCATGGAGAATCCGGCCAATGTAAGGGATCTGCAACCTGAACCGCAGATATGGTTCCCATGAACCAGCTAATCCGTGACGAATCCTCAGTTTCGAAGGCCATCTTAAACCTCAACCCGGTGCACCAACGAATCTGCAATGCCGCCTTCACAACATTGGCTTTGACACAAAACTCGGGTGTGCTGGCACGCGGGTAATAAATCACCTCAAACACCTTTCCATTGACTGCCAGATCAGTAGCTTCAATTACCGATTCGGCTTTCACTTTCCTACTCCCATTGTTTCTTCCACTCATCAGTGATTTGTTCTCGTCTTCCCTGAGAAAGGAAGAGAACCCTCCTCCTCCATACGGCGGGACAACACAGCTCCCGCCGCTCACTGGGTTCCACCCGGAAGAAGCTTCCACCCCCGCACCACCACCGATTCCCCTTTTTGCCCTTCGGATCCCGACACAGAGATCTCCATTCTCCGCCCTCAGGAACACAATTGAATCCCCGGCCACGAGCTTCTTGTGGTTCACGAAAGTGCTCCATCCAGTGGTTAAAAGATGGCGCCTCGGGGTCCCTCTATAAATGTGCCTGAACTTCCATGTCTCCCCATGAACGTCTTTCACTAGTATGGTCTGGACCGGAGGGTCAGCCGAGTAGTCCAATCGCGGGAAAATTGTTTCTGCACAATACCTCGGGACCGAAAACCCCCCACCATTGTTGGCATCTGATTGGGTCAATGTCTTTGCGAAAGAAGCTGGTTTTTCAGAGTTATCAGCTGCCGCCACGTCATTTTCTTCACCATCACCATCAAAATCAGAATCATTTCCACTTACAGGAAGCAATCTGATTTTAGCAAAAACCTCGTCCGTGTCTGGGTCTGCCATGTACTTAATACCAGAGAATCTGCAAGGAATGTAGGATGGGATGGTTGAAGATGAATTGCCAAAGGGGACATTCCCGGAGGCGTGCTCTGCGTGCCCCTGAGGGAAATAGAACACTTTCGAGTTCAGAGGTGGCATTTGAACTATGCTACCAGCACAGGCATGCCATAATTGAGGATCTAAGCACTTTTCTGTTCCTCTACCCGAATCTTTCGAATCCATAAATGTTATCATCTTGTTTAACCACTAGATTCTACTCAATCTCAGCTCATTAATCCCTGAAGATTCTAAGTATATGCTGTGACCCAAAACAAACAAATAGCCCTTCAGGAAAATCATATTTGGAAGGAGAAAAGCAGAATCAAAAGCATTTTGGATAGAATAGTTTCAGTAGGAGGAGATTCAAGATTCATACCTGAGAGCAAGTTAATTGCAGAGTGCTGGGCAGAATAGAATCTCTCTATGACCCAGAAAGTGGAGCTGATTCTCCAAAACATTCTTTTAAAAAATCCAGATAAATTATTCTTCAGTTTCCTACCATTCAACAGAGTAGGACCAAGCTTGACCACTTCTATCCCTTCCAAAAAAGCATCAGCAAAAAGAAAAGCCAGAACAAACAAACCCACACAAAATCCAATCTCCTTTCACTGACTTTGGGCGAAAACCCACAACATATATGGAATCCTTCTCCAGAATTCTTTTGTCCCACCGCTAAGTATCAATTTCTTTTTTACCATCTTCAAGCCAATTTTGTAGCGTGGGGAAAAATGAAAACCCTAACAAAAAATCCGAACCTGGGAAAGTTAGAGCTAGATTGTGTGCTATCAGCCCTTTGTCATCTTTATGTCTTAAGAGGCACATATAATACAGAGATAGAGCTGTCTTTCATGGATGCATGTTCACATGAGTGCATCTATATATACGCAGTTTACACACACAGTTAAATACGGAGTAGTCTTTTATCTCTTTCCGGATTGTTTTAGGTTTACTTCTTTTACCTATTTTTTTCCGAAATAGGTAGGGAAAACTGTCAAATAGGTACTCGAACTTTCATAAAAAGGTCAATTAAGTCCTTCTATAGGAGGTTCTGTTCGGCCATCGCGATTTGGGGCAGTTCCCGATGAATTTTTTTGATGAATTTTTTTGAGCATCTTATTCACCAAGTCTAGTTTACTCATACCAAATTTCAGCTAAAAAATCAATCGGGAACACATTCAAATTAATTCTTGAAGATAACTGCGCATTTTTGCGTTCTCGAATTAATTTGAATGCGCTCCCGATTAAATTTTTAGCTGAAATTTGGTATGAGTAAACTAGACTTGATGAATAAGATGCTCAAAAAATTTCAACAACAAATTCCACCGGGAACCGCCCCAAATCGCGACGACCGGACATAGTCTCCTATAGAAGGACTTAATTGACTTTTGTATGAAAGTTCGAGAACCTATTTGACAGTTTTCCGATACCTCTTTTTTGCTTTTTAAAATTTGGTTTGTTACCGAGTGCAACCCATTAAAAAAACTTTTGACTTCAAAAGTGAAATTGATGTTTGGAAATGACAACTTCAACTAGAACCAGGTTGAATGGTGTTTTAAACTTTTTTTTTTACTTTTTTATTACACTAAAGCATTTATTTTATCACACACTATCAACTTTTATTTTTTCAAAATCATTTTTTATCAAACACTATCAACTTTTACTATTAATCTCTTTTCCCAAAACCACTTGAATTGTTTTAATGTAGAACAATCGCTAACACTCCCTTAATTAACATGTACTCGGCCTTTGTCCCCTTAACATTGGGACAAAAAGGAGGTGTACGGTTATTAATAAAATTGCAATTGTTTGATTGTGTTGAATTGACAAACTGTAAATAAAGCAAAAATAAATAGTACGGAGTAGATAATAGATAGAAATATCGGGACATATTTGTAATTCTCTTGTTTTCTCTGTTTAGTATAAATATACCATCAGGGCTCCCTATTAGGGTAAGCCATTATTCCATAATATTGTATATGGTATCAGTCGCTAGGTTTTCTAAACCTTCCGCATAATGTCGCACGACTCTTCTGCATCGGGAATGACTGCCGCAATCGGGTCTCTCTCTTCCATGCCGGCTTCTTCTTCATTGACGGTCAGTCCTCACAGCACTACGACGCCCTCTCTTTCTCAGGCGCAACCTTCTTCTCGCTGGATATTCCATCCCCGGTGGTTCATCGCTTTGGCTCGAGCACAGATCCTCCTATCATGCCATCTCTGGAATCCTATCGTATGTTTGGCATGCCTACTCCCTTTACGTGGTCCTCTACGACAACCATGTCGTCTATGATGTCTCTGCCGCCGCTTACCGCACCCATAGGTCCTCCACCCTTGCTGACCGGGTCTGCCTCTTCATCGCAGGTATTTTATGTACCCTCGGGCAGTCCAGTCTCCTCACCGGCCATGTTTACTGTCACGCCCCGGGCCTCCCCGGACACGTCAACAACCCGCCGTACAATACGAATAGTCAACCGCAGTCCAACACATTCATATTATACAAGGCGTCATGAATATCATTCACACATAAGTCATCCATAAACATACATAATAAACAATTGAATACGCAGCGGAAAACATTGTTTAAAACAAAAGGGCCACACAGGGCAAACATGAGCACGCAGGCTCTAAAGTAAAATATCCATGAGCAAATTTATTAATGTTTCAAATAGAATGGAGGAAGCACGAACCAAGTCTTCTCTCCGAGGAATCACTCGATCAACGAGCACAGGATGCAAGCTCTAGCCTCAACCTGAAATGGTGGTGGGACGCCCCCGAAGGGGTCAGTACTCTATACGGCTATAAAGTACTGGTGTGGCAGGCATCTAATAGATATACAACAAGTATTTCAAACACAAGACCCTCAAGTAGGGTGATAGTACATTATGATTGTAACCCTAAGTTACCCCGTTTAAAAATATACTTACTTTATATAAAAGTCAAGTAGTCGGCCCGTGGGCCCGTTTTCATTTGGAAATCACCATTCCCAACCCCGTGGCTATAAGCCACGACAACTCCTAGAGTCCAACCCTAGTACATGACATTGTATTCTAGAGCTCGGCTCTACTACATCACCATACAATTCATATACCTCGGGTCAATTTCTTTACCTTTGCGTTCTAGAGCTCGGCTCTATTACATCACCACGCAAGTCCTAGAGCTCGGCTCTAGCTATACAATACATAGACTCCAAGTCTACACCTTACATGCATTCTAGAGCTCGGCTCTATTACATCACCATGCATTAAGGTCCAATTCTCAAGCAACCCTATGCCTAGAATTGACATATCATTAAACTTCTTTGGGTCATCCTTAAAGACTTCCCATAACTTAACCTTAGTTCCAAACTAAGTTATTATATACACTTGAACTATATTCAAGTACCTTTCATACAATCCAATCCCTAGGATCAATTTAATCAACAAGTTCCAATAATCACTAACTAGTATTTCAATACTATTAAGATTATTGTTATCATACCATTATCCTCATTATTTGTAATTCTCTACATATTTATAATTATGTAGCAGCAACTTAAGTATTCAATCTCAATACACAAATATTCATTTATGTATCCACATAATTCATACATGAGCAAAATGCCCATTTTCACAAAATAGTTCATTTATACTCATTTAATCTCATATTATTCATACCTTCTCAAATCATTTCAAATTTCATTCCTTGGCAACTATATCAATATTTCATCAATATATAATCATCATAATCCATGAAAAATCATGATTTAAGCATTTAGGTAATCTCATGCTTAACCTACAAGTTGTAAGCAATTAGATGTCAATCCTCACCTCAATTGAGCTTTAAACTTTCCCTCCTTGGTCCAATGGTCAAAGCTTTGGTCAAGGTGGATTTGGAACTGATTCCTTGCTCAAATATGAGTGTTAAACAGCCTCCTCAAAGTGCTAGTTCAACCCTTAATCGTTGATACGAAAACAGCCCCTAGAACGGGTGTTTTCCGGCTAACTCGATTCCTAGTTTTCCAATATTTGCATCTAGGTTAGTATCTAACCTTTACATCAATAAAATAACTTTATAAGGACATATTATACACTTGGATTAGTGTATAATAGTCTCACCAATCGTTCATATCATTTGGGGAATGAAAAGTAAAGCTTTGGGGTTTAAAACTCACTTTAGAGGATTAAATCCTCTCCTGCGAGGTTGCGTTTTTCTCGGACGATTTGGAAGCCTTCCACAACTCCGATTCCTGCAAACCAGACCTTCACGGATTCCTCGTCTTGAGAGCTTTCTGTGGGTATCTCACACGCCTTAATTGGATTTGTAAAACTCGAGATATCGACCAAACAGTCTCAGCACTCTCACAGCTCGAGTTCACAGACCTCTGCTCGTTCCAGCTCGATTTTTGTAAGATAAGCCTTCTCTCCTCGAACACAGACCACTAAATTGAGATAATAGACTTCAAAGGCTATCCAAGGACATATTATTCACGTTGTTTGGTCGAGTATAGCTTCTATAATGAGAGGAGACAAACAGCACACCAATTTGTGCGAAAATAAGGATGGTGGCCCAAGTTTTGATTCCTATCAAGTCATGTGCAGCTCCCCTCCATTATGGACGGCCAAGGTAGGTCTTCTAACCCATTTTTATTTGTTTTGCAGGTACTAATATCATGTGGAGTGGTTCCCAATTGATCCCATTAAATTTGGGGTCCAAAATATCTACCAATACTTCCAAAAATGGGAAGATGGGTCCTATTGTTTTATCTTTGTCAAAGATGTCTTCTTGTACTCATCCTAATTTATTTAGAACAAGTCAACTTCCTAAATCACATTATTGATCTCCAATATGTGTAGGCTCATCCCAATAATTTACTTGATGGATATTTTAGAAGGAAAATCCTACTCCCATTATTTAGCTCAATAATGCCAAAGATGGGGTTATAGACATTTGTATTCTCCTTTAATCATTCTTTCACTATTTTGGTAATGTTGGGCCTTTTTATTTATTAATAAGTCCCGAGTAAGTATTTGCGAAACCCGACACTAATGTACGAGTTTGAACAGTACGATATTCAACCATGCACTACGTAGAACATTGATCGTTTTACGAAATGTTTGGGAATCGGAAATCCAATACATAAGCTATGAATATTCAAATCAAATTTCCAAGGACATTCGGGTGCGGTGTCACAAGTTCACCCCCCCTTAACAGGAATTTCGTCCCCGAAATTCACAGCTCTACTCGAATAGGAAAGCATACTGCTTTCTCATCAAAGCCTCTGTTTCCCATGTCTCTTCTTCGACCCGATCGCTCTTCCACAAGACTTTAACCATTGGGACTTCCTTGCTCCTCAGTTTCTTCACCTTTCTATCGGTGACCTTGATAGGTTGAACAGAGTAGTTCAAATCCTCACGTACCTCTACAGGTGGCTTCTCCAATACGTGAGAGGGATCATGCACATACTTCTTAAGCATGGATACATGAAACACATTATGTATCTTCTCTAACTCAGGAGTCAATTGTAGACGATATGCAACGGCCCCAATCCTCTCTATAATTCTGAATGGACCTATATATCGTGGGTTAAGTTTTCCTCGGGTTTGGAACCGAATGATCCCTTTCCAAGGAGAAACTTTCAAGAATACCTCGTCATCAACCTTAAACTCTAAGGTTCTTCGACGCTTATCTGCATAACTCTTTTGTCTATCCTGAGCCGCCTTGAGTCTCTCTCGAATTAGCTTCACCTTTGACTTGGTGACCTCCACCAACTCAGTACCCTCGAGTTTGGCCATGCCAACCTCGTCCCAACATAACGGTGTACGGCACCTCCTCCCATACAATGCCTCGTATGGAGGCATGCCGATGCTTGCCTGATAACTGTTGTTATAGGCAAACTCCACAAGTGCTAAGTGGTTGTCCCAACTCCCCTGGAACTCCAATGCACAAGCCCTCAGCATGTCTTCTAGGATCTGTATAACCCTTTCAGACTGCCCATCCGTCTGTGGATGGAAAGCAGTGCTGAACTTCAACTTCGTTCCCATAGACTCCTGGAATTTCGGCCAAAAACGTGATGTGAATCGTGGGTCTCTATCAGATACAATGGTCACCGGGACCCCATGCAGCCTCACGATCTCATCCGTATACAATTTGGCTAACCTCTCAAGTGGGTAGGTAGTGTTGATAGGCAAGAAGTGTGCACTCTTTGTGAGCCTATCCACAACGACCCAAACCGCGTCATAGTTCCTGATAGTCCGTGGTAAGCCTACCACGAAATCCATAGTCACGTGCTCCCACTTCCATTCAGGGATGGAGAGTGGTTGCAATAAGCCTGCTGGGTGCTGATGTTCTGCCTTAACTTGTTGACAAGTAAGGCACCGACTGATGTACTCGGCTATTTCCCTCTTCATTCCAGACCACCAGTAACTTTCCTTCAAATCACGGTACATTTTCGTGCCCCCCGGGTGCATGGCATAAGCCGATGAATGAGCCTCCTCTAAGATGGACTTTCGGAGCTCATCATCTGACGGTACACACACTCGGTCACGAAATAACAAGAGACCATCATCTCTTTCCCTGAAATCCTCCACCGGCCCCGCTTGCATGCGTTCCCGGACCTTCATAAGTTCTTCGTCGGCTTCCTGACCCTTCTTGATCTCATCAAGTAAAGTGGGTCTCACCTCAAATCGTGCCAATAAGGCACCATCGCTGGTTACCTCCAGTTGGGCTCTTAATGCCCTCAAATTAGTTATCAATGCCCCAGACGAGCTCTTCCGGCTCAAAGCATCCGCCACCACGTTTGCCTTGCCTGGGTGATACTCTATCACTAGATGGTAGTCTTTTATCAGCTCCATCCACCGTCTCTGTCTCATGTTTAGCTCTTTCTGAGTAAACACGTACTTCAAGCTCTTGTGATCAGTGTATATGTGACATGTCTCCCCGTAGAGATAATGTCTCCATATCTTCAGTGCAAATACCACTGCCCCGAGCTCCAAATCATGAGTAGGATAATTCACCTCATGCTTCTTCAATTGTCGTGAAGCATAGGCGATTACCCTCCCATTCTGCATCAGTACACATCCGAGCCCTTGGATGCTCGCATCGCTATAGACATCGTACCCCACACCTTGTTTGGGTAATGCAAGTACCGGTGCCTCAGTCAATCTCTTCTTTAGTTCCATGAACCCTTTCTCACATTTGTCATCCCATACAAACTTAGCTCCTTTACGAGTGAGCTTCGTCAATGGCGATGCCAAAACAGAGAACTTCTCCACGAACTTTCTATAGTAGCCTGCCAATCCAAGGAAACTACGAATTTCCTTGACGTTCTTTGGCCTCTCCCATTCAGTAATGGCTTCTATCTTCTTGTTATCAACAGCAATCCCCGATCCCGAAACCACGTGCCCGAGGAAGCCAATCTCCTTTAGCCAAAATTCACATTTAGAAAATTTGGCATAGAGTTGCTTCTCCCGTAGTGTTTCAAGAACAAGTATCAAGTGCTCCTCATGCTCTTCTTCACTCTTTGAGTAAATCAAGATGTCATCTATGAACACAATCACGAATCGATCCAAGTATTTATGGAATACTCGGTTCATCAAGTCCATGAATGCCGCCGGGGCGTTTGTTAACCCAAACGACATAACAAGGAACTCAAAATGCCCATACCTTGTGCGGAAAGCACTCTTTGGTATGTCATCTTCCTTAATCTTCAATTGATGGTACCCCGACCTCAAGTCAATCTTCGAAAACACGGTTGCTCCTCGTAGTTGATCAAACAAGTCATCAATCCTAGGCAACGGATACCTATTCTTGATTGTGACCTTGTTCAGTTGACGATAGTCAATGCACATTCGAAGTGTCCCATCTTTCTTTTTCACAAAAAGAACCGGTGCTCCCCACGGGGAGTGGCTTGGTCTAATGAAACCGTTATCCAAAAGCTCTTGCAATTGGGTTTTCAACTCGTTAAGTTCAGCGGGTGCCATCCGGTATGGCGGTATGGAGATTGGTTTGGTACCAGGCTCGACCTCGATCACAAATTCAATCTCTCTGTCAGGTGGAAGCCCCGGTAGGTCTTTAGGGAAGACATCCGGATACTTACAAACCACCCTCACATCATCGACGTTCGTTTCCTCTTTGGTTTTGTCAACCACGTATGCTAGATATGCGTGGCATCCCTTCCTCATCATATTTCTCGCTCTCACGGCGGATATGATACAACTATTTGATTTGCCGCGGTCCCCCTCGAAGCGTAGGGTGTCCCCCTGTGTGCCTTCGAGTTCCAACACCTTTGTGTAGCAATCTACCCTAGCATGATGCTTTTCTAGCCAATCCATCCCTAGGATTGCATCGAACTCCATCATACTCAGCGGTACGAAATCACACGTCAAGGTTTGGCCACCGATTTCCACCATACAAGATGGATAGTAATTGTTTCTTTCAACGTCTTCCCCTAGTGGGGTTGATACCACTAAGGTTTGTGTCATTGGTATTGATTGCATCTTTAAGCTCTCGGCAAACGCCTCACTCACGAATGAACGTTGCGCTCCGGTATCGATAAGGATTCGTGCATCCTTCCCGTTAATCTTTAGTGTCCCTACATTCATGAACCATGTAAGACATCTTTCCTACCCTCCCTACTCATTTATAGAAGGTTGCAATGTTCACACGCACGTTAGGGATCAAGAAGAGGCCTTAACGTCGCAAAACGATGCGAAAAAATCGGGTGTCGGCAATCTGGGTGCCAGGCACGGCGTGCCTGGGGTAGGCACGATCGTGCCTGGCTTGGGGAAACGCCCAGGGTGCCACTGCCTTGGAGGCACGATCGTGTCTGCCTTAGGCACGATCGTGCCTGGGTTGGGAAATCCTGGGGAGCCACTGATTTGGAGGCACGATCGTGTCTGGCTTAGGCACGATCGTGCCTGGTTTGAAGAAACACCTGGGCAGCTACTGCCTTGTAGGCACGATCGTGTCTGCCTTAGGCACGATCGTGCCTGGGTTGGGAATTTTCCTGGGCAGCTACTGACTTGGAGGCACGATCGTGTCTGCCTTGGGCACGATCGTGCCTGGGTTCCAGCTGCCTGAAGTTGGCCGAAATCCCCCGGTTCGACCCCCAAACCTTTTGCAATGGTCCTAACGATTAGTAACCTTAATTTATGGACTAATTAAGGACAAAACACTAGTATACGAGAGGTAATACCTGCAACGGAATCCGGATTAGCTTGAGCATCCGCCTCCGTCATCGCGTAGACCCTAGCCTGGGTCCTTCCTTGGTTCACGGACGGCGCGTTGCTCGCGCTTGCTCCCCCATGTCCCCGGCTTGCTTGAGAAGCCCCGGGTTGATTCCGTGTACCCGTCGGGCCACTACTTGGTCCCGATGTCCTTGCCCCGCCCAGTTGTGGGCAATGTGCCTTCAAATGCCCGGCATCCCCACATTGGAAACATCTAGGGGGGTCGCGACATTTACCGGAATGGTTCCTCTTGCAATTGTTGCAACGAGTTACCACTGAGGTTTGTGACCTCGAGTCTTGCCCACTCGGGCCTTGGTTCCCCCTAGACGGTGGCGGTGGTGCCCGGAAAGATCCTCCTCCGTGGTTCCCCTTTTTGTTGGAACCTTGGGAGCCATGACTCTCCCACTTTCTCTTTTTCGCCTCTTCGGCGTCTCTCTTCTTCCGTTCCTCCCACTGTTTCTCCCCTTTCAATGCTTGTTCAACCACTTGGGCGAAAGTCATATTAGGCAATTGCGTTGCCCTATCACGTATCTCCAAGTCAAGAGCGTCCCAAAAGTGGTTCACCATGCGGTTCTCGTCACAAGCATACTCCGGTATGTAGTCGGCGAGATCCCGGAACTTGTACTCAAGCTCCTTCACTGACATGTTACCCCCTTGGGTTAGGAGGGTGTATTCCCTCACCTTCTTATTCACCTCGAAATCAGAATAGTATTGGGCAAAGAACTCCCGTTGGAAGTCCTCCCAAACGACGGTCTCACCGTACTTGTTCTTGGTTCCATCCCACCACTTGGATGCCATCCCCTCGAGCAATCTTACCGCAATTCTCAGTTTGAGATTCGGCGCGATTTGCATGTCAAGGGCCGCTTCATTTAGCCTCTTGATCCATTGTGCTGCCACTAAAATGTCCCCTGCTCCATCAAAGGGTTTGCACCCCAAATCTCTTGCTTCTTTGATGTATTTGGAGATCCTTATGGTTGGACCTCCATCATTTTGGCCTCCACGTGGTTCCACATGGTCTCTAGATGCACCATGACTTCCTCCTCGTGAAGCCATGCCCGAAGGTTGCCCAGCCCGGCGCCTTCGGCGTTCCCTCCTCTCTTCACGCTCACGGTGATACTGTTGAAGTAGTGCTTCAATCCGTGCTAAGGAGCCATTTTCCTCCTCATCACTTACATCATCATCATCCCCTTCATAAGGGGTCTCAACCGGTTCAGTTTCCGGTCGATAGGTCGAGTCCTCATAGGACCAGTAGGTTTCACTTTCTGTGTCGACATGACCGTCACTCACGGTCTGTGATCGGCCTCCACGGCCAGCTCCTCTAGATGCCCTAGAGGTCCTTCGACTGCCCTGTCCAGTCTCCTCTGGTACACGGCCGGTCGGGTTTCTCCTAGTAATCCTGCCACCACGGTCCATTTCTGAAAGAAATTGGGAAAGAGTCGTTAGACTCGTATCAAATGTCAATTGACGGATAGGTACTTAAGACACATTTTGGCTCGAGTCACTGCCATACCAATTGCTAAGGGTACCATCTTAACAATTAGAGACCTTGCAACCCAAGTACCAAAAGCTCTCCAAGTACAAAACTTCTATGCTCATGGTTTTCAAAATCTTTTCAAAAAGAGAATTTTGAGACTTCATTATGAAGTTTATGGACTAAGTCTCTGATACCAACTTAATTGTCACGCCCCGGGCCTCCCCGGACACGTCAACAACCCGCCGTACAATACGAATAGTCAACCGCAGTCCAACACATTCATATTATACAAGGCGTCATGAATATCATTCACACATAAGTCATCCATAAACATACATAATAAACAATTGAATACGCAGCGGAAAACATTGTTTAAAACAAAAGGGCCACACAGGGCAAACATGAGCACGCAGGCTCTAAAGTAAAATATCCATGAGCAAATTTATTAATGTTTCAAATAGAATGGAGGAAGCACGAACCAAGTCTTCTCTCCGAGGAATCACTCGATCAACGAGCACAGGATGCAAGCTCTAGCCTCAACCTGAAATGGTGGTGGGACGCCCCCGAAGGGGTCAGTACTCTATACGGCTATAAAGTACTGGTGTGGCAGGCATCTAATAGATATACAACAAGTATTTCAAACACAAGACCCTCAAGTAGGGTGATAGTACATTATGATTGTAACCCTAAGTTACCCCGTTTAAAAATATACTTACTTTATATAAAAGTCAAGTAGTCAGCCCGTGGGCCCGTTTTCATTTGGAAATCACCATTCCCAACCCCGTGGCTATAAGCCACGACAACTCCTAGAGTCCAACCCTAGTACATGACATTGTATTCTAGAGCTCGGCTCTACTACATCACCATACAATTCATATACCTCGGGTCAATTTCTTTACCTTTGCGTTCTAGAGCTCGGCTCTATTACATCACCACGCAAGTCCTAGAGCTCGGCTCTAGCTATACAATACATAGACTCCAAGTCTACACCTTACATGCATTCTAGAGCTCGGCTCTATTACATCACCATGCATTAAGGTCCAATTCTCAAGCAACCCTATGCCTAGAATTGACATATCATTAAACTTCTTTGGGTCATCCTTAAAGACTTCCCATAACTTAACCTTAGTTCCAAACTAAGTTATTATATACACTTGAACTATATTCAAGTACCTTTCATACAATCCAATCCCTAGGATCAATTTAATCAACAAGTTCCAATAATCACTAACTAGTATTTCAATACTATTAAGATTATTGTTATCATACCATTATCCTCATTATTTGTAATTCTCTACATATTTATAATTATGTAGCAGCAACTTAAGTATTCAATCTCAATACACAAATATTCATTTATGTATCCACATAATTCATACATGAGCAAAATGCCCATTTTCACAAAATAGTTCATTTATACTCATTTAATCTCATATTATTCATACCTTCTCAAATCATTTCAAATTTCATTCCTTGGCAACTATATCAATATTTCATCAATATATAATCATCATAATCCATGAAAAATCATGATTTAAGCATTTAGGTAATCTCATGCTTAACCTACAAGTTGTAAGCAATTAGATGTCAATCCTCACCTCAATTGAGCTTTAAACTTTCCCTCCTTGGTCCAATGGTCAAAGCTTTGGTCAAGGTGGATTTGGAACTGATTCCTTGCTCAAATATGAGTGTTAAACAGCCTCCTCAAAGTGCTAGTTCAACCCTTAATCGTTGATACGAAAACAGCCCCTAGAACGGGTGTTTTCCGGCTAACTCGATTCCTAGTTTTCCAATATTTGCATCTAGGTTAGTATCTAACCTTTACATCAATAAAATAACTTTATAAGGACATATTATACACTTGGATTAGTGTATAATAGTCTCACCAATCGTTCATATCATTTGGGGAATGAAAAGTAAAGCTTTGGGGTTTAAAACTCACTTTAGAGGATTAAATCCTCTCCTGCGAGGTTGCGTTTTTCTCGGACGATTTGGAAGCCTTCCACAACTCCGATTCCTGCAAACCAGACCTTCACGGATTCCTCGTCTTGAGAGCTTTCTGTGGGTATCTCACACGCCTTAATTGGATTTGTAAAACTCGAGATATCGACCAAACAGTCTCAGCACTCTCACAGCTCGAGTTCACAGACCTCTGCTCGTTCCAGCTCGATTTTTGTAAGATAAGCCTTCTCTCCTCGAACAAAGACCACTCAATTGAGATAATAGACTTCAAAGGCTATCCAAGGACATATTATTCACGTTGTTTGGTCGAGTATAGCTTCTATAATGAGAGGAGACAAACAGCACACCAATTTGTGCGAAAATAAGGATGGTGGCCCAAGTTTTGATTCCTATCAAGTCATGTGCAGCTCCCCTCCATTATGGACGGCCAAGGTAGGTCTTCTAACCCATTTTTATTTGTTTTGCAGGTACTAATATCATGTGGAGTGGTTCCCAATTGATCCCATTAAATTTGGGGTCCAAAATATCTACCAATACTTCCAAAAATGGGAAGATGGGTCCTATTGTTTTATCTTTGTCAAAGATGTCTTCTTGTACTCATCCTAATTTATTTAGAACAAGTCAACTTCCTAAATCACATTATTGATCTCCAATATGTGTAGGCTCATCCCAATAATTTACTTGATGGATATTTTAGAAGGAAAATCCTACTCCCATTATTTAGCTCAATAATGCCAAAGATGGGGTTATAGACATTTGTATTCTCCTTTAATCATTCTTTCACTATTTTGGTAATGTTGGGCCTTTTTATTTATTAATAAGTCCCGAGTAAGTATTTGCGAAACCCGACACTAATGTACGAGTTTGAACAGTACGATATTCAACCATGCACTACGTAGAACATTGATCGTTTTACGAAATGTTTGGGAATCGGAAATCCAATACATAAGCTATGAATATTCAAATCAAATTTCCAAGGACATTCGGGTGCGGTGTCACATTTACAGCCTCTGCAATGTCTGGTCAGCCAAGCACTTCAACACTTCAGCCTGGTCCGTCTTCATCACCAGTCATGTTTACTGGTACTACACTTTCTGGACAGCCAGGTACTTCTTTTCTACCGCAACATCAGTCCATTCTCCAGCCAGGTTCTTCTTTCTTATTGGGAGCTTTGGCTTCTCAACTGACTTTCTCAACTCCTAATGTGACAAATATTGTCACTACTCGTTTGAAGGCAGTTGAGGACTATCTCCCGTGGCGTACCCAATTCGAATCTTTTCTAGTTTCCCATAGTCTTCTTGGGATTCTAGATGGATCCGTTTTGGTACCGCCACAATTTATTTCTGACACACTTCGGCGGGAGGTTCCCAATCCCGAGTACCATTATTGGCTTAAGATTGATCAGACCGTCCGGTCATGGCTTTTTGCAACTTTATCATGGGATATATTAATGGAGGTATATGATTTTAAATTTTCTGCACGTATTTGGGAGTGCCTTGAAACACATTTTATGTCAGCCTGCCTTGCCCGGTCTATAGAACTTAAACGTCAGTTATCCCATATAAAAAAGAAGGAGTCTCAGTCCATAGACCAATATTTGTTGGAGGTTAAATTACTGGCTGATAATCTTAATTCTATTAATTCCCCTGTGACCAACCGAGATTTGATTGAATATACCATTAATGGCTTGGGACCGGATTATGAGTCTTTGATTACGGTTATTTCCTATATTCCGGGTAATGCTACTATTGAGTCATTGGGGCTCATTCTTCAAGCTCAAGAGCAGCGAAATCAATTTTTTCGGTCCCAAGAATCTGGCCCAGTTCATCAAGCTTTTGTGGCCGCTCCAGCAGCTCCAACGGCTAACCATAGAGGGGGTGCACCTCCAGCAGCTCGTGGGCAGGGGGTCAAGCACAAGCTGGGCGTGGTTACCGCGGTGGACGCGGTCGTGGGCAGCGTGGTAGAGGCCGCGGATATCAGCAACACTTTCAGCACCAGCAGGTTGGTTACGGGCAGCAGCTAGGGCTGAGCAAAACCCGATCCGACTCGAAAAACCCGATACTTTTTTCGGATATTATCCGAACCGAAGTGGATATCCGACCCGAAAAACCCGAAACCGAAAATCCGATTAGTATTGGGCCTAGATCGGGTGGCAGGTAGGGTTTGTGAAATCCCAACCCGACCCGCCCGAATATCCGAAATATATGTTAGTGTATATTTTGAATATTTTAAATTAATACTTGTGTTCAATTATTTTTGAAATTATTTATGCAATTTGTAATAAATTATTTGTGTAAATTGAATGTGTAGTGCACTAGTGTGTACATTTTTTTTGTCAAAGTGGCATTCTAACACTTTAGTTATCCAATTATAATGTGTTTTAATATAACCGAAATATCCGAAATATATTAAATTATGTAGTGTGTACTTTGAATATGTTAAATTAATATTTGTGTTCAATTATTTGTGTAATTATTTGTGCAATTTGTGTTAAATTATTTGTGTAATTTGGAAGTTTAGTGCACTAGTGTGTACAATTTTTGTCAAAGTGGCATTTAAACAATTTAATTATCCAATTATAATTTTTTTAATATAACTGAAATATTTGAAACCCGACCCGATATCCGATAATATCCGACAAAAATATCCGAAATACCCGATTTGAAATATCAAAGGGTCGGGCCTACTGTTTAAATTAAAAAAACCCGAACGGGTTTAGGGTTCGCAGACCCGACCCGCCTGAACCCGACCCGTGCACAGCCCTAGCAGCAGCAGCCGCCTCTCCTTCCGTTACCACAGTTCGGCCAGGCCCCTGCTCCGTACCAGTATGGTCCTCCTCGAGTGCAAGCACCAACTGGCAACCAAGGTTTGGCTTTGAGTAATGTTTTGCCTGGTTATTCGTACTTAAATCACTTTTTCTGCTTGTGGTACTAATAATGTCAATGCAGGTTTTCCATCTGGTGATAATAATCATTTTCCACCACCTCCAGTTGTATGCCAAATCTGTTTCTCTCCAGGTCATTCAACACTCACTTGTCCCCGCTATGTTGGTCCTTCTGCTTCGGCACTGGCCGCTCTTCCTTCGGGTGAATCAAATTCTGCCGTGTGGTACCCGGACTCTAGTGCATCTGCTCATATGACCCCTCATGAAGGTATTTTAACTTGTAAATCTCCTTATACTGACTCAAATTCGGTGCAAGTTGCTAATGGTACTCAATTACCCATATCTCATATTGGTAGTGTTAAACTAATCACTCCTGGCCGCACGCTACACTTAAACTCCGTTTATCATGTTCCACAATTACAATATAATTTACTATCTATTCACAAGTTGTGTGCGGATAATGATTGTACGGTGATTTTTAATAAAAATTATTTTTCTATAAAGGACAATCAAACGGGGTGCATCTTTTTCAGGCTTCCAATAAAGACCATCTCTACCCATTCCATGCCCTTCAAGCTACTCTTCTTCCTGGCCCTACCTGGCACAAGCGTTTGGGGCATTGTGGTGATAAAGTTTTACAACATCTTCGGCAAAATAATTATATTTCTATTTCTAGTACTTTTAGTCACAATTGTGTTTCTTGTAAGTTGGGTAAATCCCACAGACTTTCGTTTCACGATGTTTCTCATTCTTGCACTGCTCCTTTAGAACTTATACATTCTGATGTTTGGCAGTTGCCAGTTATTTCAAATTTAGGATTTAAATATTATGTCTCTTTTATAGATGATTTTTCTCGATATACTTGGGTTTATCCTATGCGGCGTAAGTATGAGGTTTTCACTCATTTTTGCAATTTTCAAAAACTTGTTGAAAATCTTTTTGATAGGAAGATTAAAAAATTTCAGAGTGATGGTGGTGGCGAATTTAATAATGCCGTGTTTAATAATCATTTTTTGCAATCTGGAACTTTATTTCGAAAATCTTGTCCAGATACTCCCGCTCAGAACGGTGTTGCTGAATGTAAACATCGACATCTTCTTGAGCTTACTAGAACTATGTTAATTGAGGCCTCCATCCCGTCTTCTTTTTGGATTGATGCCTTGTACGCTGCCACATACATTGTTAATCGTCTACGAACACCACTCTTGAATAATTTTAGTCCCTTTTAGAAGATTTTTAATAAATCTCCCGACTTTACTTTTTTACGTGTTTTTGGCTGTGCATGTTTTCCAAATTTTATTGTCATGTCTTCTAATAAACTTTCACCTTGCTCCACTCGCTGTGTTTTTATTGGGTATGCTCCGGGATGCAAGGGCTATCGATGTTTAGAACCTATTTCTGGACGAGTGTATATTAGCCGGGATGTTTTATTCCATGAAAATGACTTCCCTTTTCCTACTCTTGTCTCGCCTCCCACACCACACAACACCACTGTTACTGTTACTGACCTACCCCTCTCTTGGTCTCCTCTGGCAACTTTCCCTTCCCCCACCTCTGGCAAGTTCTTCTTTCCCCAGTCAAACCCCATCCCTCTTGGCCGAACCCACCCCAATTACTCTGGTTTCCAGCAACTTACCGACCTCCAGCCATGACTCAACTGCCTCTTCTCCCAGCCAATACCAAAGTCCCGCCCCATTTTCCAATTCCTACTTGGATCAACAGCCAAGTACTACTACCCCACCCAGTCCTAGTTCTCCCAGTCCTCGCGCGTCATCTATCCCAACCAGCCCCAACCCTTCTCCTAGTTCTCCCAGCTCGTCTTCTACTACCCCGACCAGCCCTTCTCCTAGCCCTGTCCCCTCCATCAGTTCACCCGCCCTACCTCCCATTATCAATCTACATCCCATGCGCACTCGCGCAAAAGATGACATTTTTAAACCAAAATCAATTTTTAATTTAAGTGCCTTCTCTCCCCCGGATGATCCCACGTGTTTTTCACAAGCTCAAAAATTTCTTGTTTGGCGGGCTGCCATGGCTGATGAATTTAATGCTGTACTTGCAAATAAGACTTTGGATTTGGTACCTTGGGATAGCACGAAAAATATAGTTGGGTGTAAGTGGGTTTACAAGACTAAATTTAATTCTGATGGATCTGTTGAGCGTCACAAGGCACGTTTGGTTGCCCAAGGTTTTAAGCAACAGGCCGGCGTAGATTTTACTGAAACTTTTAGTCCTGTTGTTAAGCCTACTACTGTTCGTCTTATTTTATCCGTTGCTGTTGCTCGTGGTTGGTGTATACGACAATTAGATGTCAAGAATGCGTTTCTTCATGGTCATCTTACAGAAGAAGTCTTTATGCGTCAACCCCCGGGTTTTATTCATCCCTCCTTTCCTCATCATGTC